TTGAGTCCATTATGGGAGTGATTACTGAAATGTCATATCGTTTAGCATTGCATTCATTATCTGTTCAGATAATCATTACATATTCACAGCTCGTCGTCTATTATATCGATTTTTGTGTGCATTTATTACACTATTGCATGGATTTAAGCGTAATTACAATTAGTTGTCAGTTGTTTTAGTGGTTTAATGATTGCGAACACAATATATCCAATTGTTTTGTTGGGTCCGAACCGTTACTACACCAACACATCCACCACTAGAATACCAGGACTTTGTTTCACATAGTTTTTGCACTGAATTACACTATAGTTTACCCATTTTTGGTCATTAAATTTTTTGCGCCTTTTAATCGATTGAATTTTTAATTCACATTTTAATTTAATTTAACGTAAAGTGTGAGACGTTTTCAATGAATTGTTAGACTTTATAATTTGCTTATTATTTAAGAGTATAGATCCCAATATATATTATTGTTTCGATTCTCAGGTATTTTGTATCCATTGCTTTGACCCAAAGCTAAGCCCACCATTAAATTAGACGCCAAACCAATGGGTTGTTCTAACTCTAAGTCGACAATCAAACTGACCGACGAAGACGTCGAGTTTCTTAGAAAGAATACTAATTATACTGAGAAAGAGATCCGCGACTGGTATAAGGGTTTTCAGGTGGACTGTCCCGACGGCAAACTCTCCAAAGAGAAATTCATGGAAATATATCAGGGATTCTTCAAAGGAGGGAATCCCGAAAGATTCTGCGAACACGTCTACCGCACCTTCGATGAAGACGCCAACGGATGGATCGACTTCAAGGAGTTCCTGCTGGCCATCGGCATCACCACCAGTACTAATCCGCGCGAAAAGCTTAAGTGGGCCTTCAAAATGTACGCCCAAACAAACTTAACCATTAATAATGCAAACGCTATTAATTATTGGTCTTCTCTAATGATTTGTGTGGTTTGTTGTTGTGTTCAGGTATGACATCAATAATGATGGGACCATAGAATTGGATGAAATGACCAAAATTATTAAAGTAAGACAACCTATTCTAACATTTCCCACTAATTTATGTTTTTTAATTACTGTATGTCAAGGCTTTTAGTTTTAATTTCTAATTTTGAGACTAAAATTACTAATTAATTGCCGTTTTTAATATAAAGAATGACTATTAAGTGGAGAATAATTACAATTAACTTTCATTAGTGTTGATTAGTTTTATAATTAGTTATTTTTGGAAGTAAATTATCAAATTTAGTTAGAATTAATCAGTTATATGTAGTATTCATATAAATAGTAGTTCTATAGAAATTATAAAATGAAATATAATATTAGTTTTGATGCGAAACTAATGCCATAACCGATAGGCTCTGCACGAAATGCTGGGCGAAGAGGCAAACGAAGCCTTCGAAGGAGAAGAGGCGGCGATGAGAGTGAAAGACATCTTCGAGAAAATGGATACCAATAATGACGGGAAGATTTGTTTAGAAGAGTTTCTCGAAGTTTGCAATATTGACGACGGATTAGCGAAATTGTTATCACTTTCGGGAGACGCCTAATGTATATCAGTATATGAATAGCAATCGGTTCTTCACAATCATATTATTGTTGTTTTCAATCAGAATTAATTACTTAATAATTGACAATAACTTAACGATGCTTTCCATTGATTTCTAGATTTACTGTTCATAAAGAGCTTTATATTATTGTATATTAAATTCTATATACATTTATTCCATTTTTAATTATATAATATATACTATTTTGATGTCTTTAAACTAATTCACAACTAAAACAACATTTAACTTACTTTCAAATTAGTTTAATTGATATCTTTCGACAATATTATCGATCATGACTTGACTTTCACTTTACTTCTCTCTCACTATTACTTCTCTCTATTTGTCATTAACTCATAAAAACAATTAATATTTAAATTATGCAAAAATTTTATTTTACAAAAACAAAACGATAATTAAATTAAAAGGTCAACAGTAAACGTGATTTTAAACTTATTTTTTATTTACTACTTTCCAAAATCCCATTTACCAATCATTAGCGTACAAAGCATTTAAATTACTGTAGTTTTGATGGGAAAACAAAATAGTAAATTAAAGCCCGAAGTGTTGGCAGATCTCCGGTCGAGCACTGAGTTCACTGAGGCTGAGATACAGGAGTGGTATAAAGGCTTTCTGAAGGACTGTCCGAGCGGTCACCTCAGTATCGATGAGTTCAAAAAAATATACGGAAACTTCTTTCCTTACGGCGACGCCTCGCGCTTTGCTGAACACGTCTTTCGCACTTTCGATGCCAACGGCGACGGGACTATCGACTTCCGGTTTGAGCCAACATTACAAGCAATACATTATTGTTACCCTAACCTATCATTTTTGCCTCATTTCAGAGAGTTTTTGTGCGCCCTTTCGGTCACATCGAGAGGAAAGTTAGAGCAGAAGCTGAAGTGGGCGTTCAGTATGTATGACTTGGATGGCAATGGATTTATTAGCCGACAAGAGATGCTAGAAATAGTAACTGTAAGTATTTGGTTATGTGAATGGTTGGTGAACGTGATAACTAAGTTTGATTGTAATTGCGAATTGGAGGCCATCTATAAGATGGTGGGTTCGGTGATGAAAATGCCTGACGACGAGTCCACACCCGAGAAGAGAACCGACAAAATATTCCGACAAATGGATAAGAACTCCGACGGAAAGCTATCGCTGGAGGAGTTCATCGAAGGCGCCAAAAGTGATCCATCGATCGTACGATTACTTCAATGTGATTCTCAAACGTGATAATAGGATTCCTTACAACAGATTTTGTCTTCAATTCTCTATTTAAACAACAAATTAACCACTTTTTCAGACCTGATATTATATGACATGACATGACTTTTACTCAATATTAAATTATTATAATTATATTATTATAATTACTATATATTATATTTGAAGCACAGAATTCGCAATCAATTTTCAAACCAAACATAACTTGAAAAATAATAATATTAACCATATTTACGATATTTTAAAATTGATAACAATTTTTAACAATTATACTATAATTAAAAAACATTATCTTTCGATGGATTTGTCAGTCGAAACCTCCTGTGCCTCACATTTGTATTATACACATAACGAAAACACATTCATTGTGTGGACAAATATTTCTCTCAATCAAACTCTATGAACAAAGAATACATTATTTTTTGTCAATACTTTTCTGTTTGACTGAATTTATTAATAATTTCAGTCAAATATATAAATATATTGTATATTATTATCAAATATTATGATAAAAAAATTCTAGTCATTAGTTATTTGTATTTTTCAACCCCTTATTAACTATTATTTTAAAAATTATATATTTTCCCCTATTTTTCAAATTGTTTTATATATAAAAAGCAGATTTATGCAAATTATTTCCATTTATGACAACATAATAATAACATCAATAATAAGGGATACAAATTAATTTTTAAATTTTTTGGTTTAATATTAATGACTTAATTGAACTCTATTTTAATTGTTAACAAAAACATTGAAAACAAAAACAAATTTTTATCCTCTAATCGTTCGTTAAAATATTATAATAAATGTATTAAACTTTTAAAGTTCTCTTTGAAATACAATTAAAAAATATTTAAATCGAAAATTGAGTCAACAGTTTGATTGCTAACGAAGAAAATAAAATTACAAAACAAGAGTAAAACCAAACGGAAGACAAACAGAAACGGTTTGACTTCAAAGAAGAACAGATTGTCTTAAGAAATAATGACTTTCCATGAATGGGTGAACCCATAATGAAATGCTTTCCTGTACTCGTGATCACGACGTCAATCATTTGTCCCAAAAAGCGCTCGTCTTTGGCGACTAATATTTGTTCATAGAATTGGTTGTGTCCGACATAATGGCGCTTATCGTGTGACTCTTCGGTTACCAACACTCGCTCTTCGGTTCCGATTCGGTTCTCATAGGGTTTATAAGAAGCGAATAAATCGCTCAATGATTTCGTTCGCTGTTTGACCTGAAAATTGATGCCAACATTTCAATACACAATAAATATTGAATTGAATTGAGTGACACTGACCTCAGCATTGGGCAGACGTTTCATTTTGGCGGCCGGTGTTCCCGGTCTCGGATAGAATTGGTTTATGAAAAGTGACGGAAATTTATACTTTTTCACTAATTTCATCGTTTCCTCAAAGTCTGCTTCGGTTTCTGTAGGGAAACCGCAGATAATATCAGTCGCTATTGTAATGCCTTTAACTCTGCGTTAAATGCGATAGAAATTCATTAAATTTCCAAACAGTTTCTTTCCCAAAGTCTTACTTTGATTTAAGAAAATCGACAATTTGTTCAAAATCTTCGATACAATATTCTCTCTTCATGTCCGCCAAAACACAATCACTTCCCGATTGGACGGGAATGTGAAGAAACGAATAGATTTTAGGGTTCAATAAAATCTATATAAAAATGGTTCACAAAATTAGCAAAAGAATTGTTTTGAAAGCAAATGAATGAATGGCTCACATCTGCCATCGCCTCCAAGTGCTCCAAAATATAGGGAGGATTTGTCATTCCTATCGGACAACACAACTGACTGTTAGTTTCGCAACGAAACCGTCAGAACACACACTATATATACCTAATCTAAGTCTGCAATCATCGGGAATAACGGCTATTAAAGCGTATAAGAGTTGCGGCAAATTAGTGCCAATGTCTCGGCCATAGGCGCCCGTGTCTTCGCTCGTCAGCCAAATCTCTTTGACGCCCTCTTTGAATGACTTTTGGGCCCTTTGGACGATATCGTCGACTGTATAGCTGCCTAACACTCCTCTGGCGTGACGTGTCTTACAATAAGTGCATTCATTAAGACATCCCGTATTTATGGCAATGATTTCGATCAATGGATTTCGTCTCACTTTCGGCATATCAAGAGACGAACCGCCGGTCTTTCGTTTGCCATCCTTTTTGGGCCCAAGAAGTCGGACCACATTTCCCTTAAGAGTCTCTTCAATCACTTCAACGCAGCGGTCGATCTGTTGAACACCAATAATACTCAGTCGACTGATGTAATCCAGTTTCGGCGCCGACTGCGGGACACATCCGGAGACCACAACTTGTTGTCCGGCGTTCAGGCCTTTAAGCACTTCGTTGCGGAAGTGGTCTTCGCTTGGATTCTTAACCGTACATGAATTCAATAGCAAGAGGTGGGCGTCTTTGGCCGCAGACACCAATCGGAAGCCATAATCGGCCAAAAGTCCGGCCATATATTCCTCGTCGGACGTGTTGTGAGCGCATCCCCACGTCTTCACGTGAATGCGGAACTTATTGGGCAGAAAACTATCCACTCGTAAGGCATCCAAGTCTTCGTCGGCTGTACTAATACTGTCTTCGCTTTGTCTCCAATTGAATGACTTCTTCCTGACTCTCGCGACCACTTGTGATCTGTTGGGCCGAAAAGCCGTCGTCTGATCCCTTCCAATGTCTTCGATGTCGTCGATTGACGCCATTCTTCTTGCGGTGATTATCGCATCTCGAGTTGTGGTCCAAACACTGTCTCACAGTTTTTACTAAACTATTAATTAAAAGTCAATTAAATGTTTAATTAAAACAGAGATCCAATGTCTGGACCACAGATGGGATCAAAACATTGCACAACAAGTCTATAGACTATAGTAAACACAAACACAACAATCAATGCATGAAATGGACGTAATTTATGACCAAAACTATCAAAACTTTTGACACGAAAAACAAGTGAACAGACAATGCGTTCAATGCATTGAAGTCTGCTTTGCATTCACTTCTCGACCGACACTCGTCTCACACATCACTCTCTCTCTCTCTCTTGTCTTTCCCTTTGGATCCATTGAATACTCGCGAAGACATTGCACACAATGGCCGACAACGCCGACCACATCGACGGTGACGACAACGAAGACGTGAGGGCACAACAGAATCTGATCAAAATCAAGCTGAAGAGCTCTGAGGGCGGTATCTATGAGTGCGGTTTGACCGCCGCTAAGATGTCAGACCTCGTGAAGAATATGGTGGAGTCGTTGGGAACCGATGCCGTCGTTACAACGGAACCCATAATTCTGGGCAACGAAGCGGTGACCGACGCGGCGCTCAAGAAGATCATCGAATGGGTTGAGTTTCATTGGGACGATCCGCCCGTCGATCACGACTTCGAGGACGAGAAGGACCGCCGCAACGAAGAGCTCTCCCATTGGGACAAACAGTTCATCGATGTCGACGATCAGGCGCTGCTCTTCGACGTGATAGCGGCCGCCAATTATATGGATATCAAAGGTTTGGTCGAAGTCGGGGCCAAACATATCTGCTCTAAGATCAGAGGCAAGTCCTGCCAAGAGGTGCGAGAAATGCTCAAAATTACCAATGATTTCACTGCCGAAGAAGAGGACGCCATTCATAAGGAAAACGCGTGGATTTACGCCAAAGATTAGATATTTTTGTTTGTTTTTTCACTTCAAGCCTAATGTTTAGTTTAATGGCATTTATTTGTAATTTTTTTGTTTAAATTTGATTTCAATCCAACTATTTTAAGTTACCAAAATTAATAAACAGCCATAAAATACATTACCAAATATATTAACAATAGGTAAACAAAACTATTCTTTTTCTAGACATTTTATTAGAGTTTGATGATTACCCAAAAACTACCGTAATTTATATTTTAATGTCATTTGAGTTCATTTGTAATTGAATTTGTGTTAAATTCGTTAAAATATTTTTGTTGTTTTATATTTGCAATTAAGAGAAATTGTTATTAAATTTGCATTTTAAGCATTTTGTGCCATTTGTGTCCACCGGTGCCCTAATTATAATTACGTTAAGAAGTATTATATAGATTTAGTTAAATTTAATGTGATTTAAAAATTATATTAAATATTAAACAAGATGATATAGGGTATAAATTGTTTTTTTAAATAAATAACTTACTTTTACTTATTTCACTGTTTAATATATTCTTATACTGTATACTGAATTATGAAATAATAAATTTAAACAATTTTTTATTGAAATAAAATTTGAATGCATTTTGTAGTGAATAAATCAATAATGTTACATGTTACTGTTAATGTGCATCTGTATTATTATATGAATCACGAAAACTAATTTTAATAATAAATTTATTGCCCAAAAGGAACGACGCTTAAAATATTGAGATTATTTTTAATTTAATAGGATTTGTTCAATGAATATGCAATGAGATCTTATTGAATACAGTGTTACCATCAAAACTTAAGATATTTAGTATTCATATTATTCAGTAACGTATAAAAATGGTAATAAATGTATCGTTTAAACAATACAATATCAATGCCATTATTAATGCATTCTATCCGATATACTCCTCAATCCATAATATCTTTTCATATCTTAATTCTGAGCCGATTCTGGAAAAAGTAATTCTATTGTGAGTTATAAATAAAAATTCTTCCCTTCTTTATACACATGAAGTCATATCAATGAAATGGTTTGCACTGAAATACAGTCAAATCCTTATGTAAAACATATTCTTTTGATGGCTTAGTCAGCGGAGAGAGAGAGAGAGAGAGAGAGAGAGAGAGAGAGAAGTCGTCACCGTCGATGTGGTCGGCGTTGTCGGCCATTGTGTGCAATGTCTTCGCGAGTATTCAATGGATCCAAAGGGAAAGACAAGAGAGAGAGAGAGAGAGAGAGAGAGAGCGCGCGACAGCACCGGTACTCTACATCTAATCAACAGAATATATCTATTGTCTGTATAAATATCTATTTTTCATGATAAGTTCAGTCAATCATAAGTTATTGGATTAGAAATTCAATTAAAAGTCGTTGTAAATGAGTTGTGCACCGAAAACATGCACCAGAATATGCCTGTAGAGCGCCTGTAGTTAAATAGGGTGTATAAGCCATGAAAGGCAATAACTTGTGTCGAAATGATAGCTTTTTCAGTGTAAATATAATTCGAGTTTTTGATTAAACTTATAAAAGCGTCTAAAAAGTATTACAGGTATTATTGGTGTCACTCTATTAGGGCTTAGAGTTTCAGTTCGCTTCGCTTCGGCTATCAATTCAATATATTAACGATTTTTTTGACAAAAAAAATCCAATTATGAAAATTACAATCTTTTAAAGCCTTTTTTGGCTCTCGATTTCACTTGAGGACATATTTGGTTCATTTTTCATACGTTGACTTGAATTCAATGGAAAAAATTGATTCAATTAGAAAAGCCAACAAAAAACTCCTACATTTGGTGTGTATTTATCTCAATTCTGTGTCTCATCTTTTTTTAAAACTTAAAGCAAATATAGTGAACATTACTATACACTGAATGAATGGGTTCTATAAAGTGGTGAATAGAGAGAAACGAAAGATCGATATAATCGTAAAGATAGAGAAGAGGGAGAGATATAAAGAAAATATTTCTAAAACTTATTGGAAGAACAAATTAAATGTCACTTCAGTTTATAGTCATTAATGATATTCCGTTTGATTCGTAAACCATTGGAGCGAACATTTCGGGCAAATATTTGACAAAAAAAGTTGCAGAAATAGACCAAAAAATATATAAGACTTTTATTAAATTCTCTTCGAAAACACTCTTATTTCTGTGTTAAGTATTATACAAACGCGATGTGAGTGTCGTTCAGACAGACATAAAAAGTGCATTTCATCTCATATTCTCTCCGTATATAAACAAAAATTTTGTTAAATCTATTAATTATTCATTTTATTTCTATATATAAAGTTCTATATATTTCTTTATTTACTGCAATTACTAAACATTTATTTTCAATTCCTATATATTTTAAAGCTTTTTATGGCATAAATGCAGTCAATATAATGATATCCTATGTGTAGACGGTATATAAGACCATTAAATATAAGTTTACATTCACTTTATTTTGCGATTTGTTTTGCAGCGAAAATTTATAAATTTCGTAAATAGTTTACTATTTGAATATATTGTTATGCCCTGAAAAGCCTATCATTTGACTGAACATTCAATACACACTCAAATGGACTAATATTTCCTGTTTTTCATAAATACAATCAATTGAATACAAGGGAGAGAATGGGAGGCAAACAAAACAATTATTTATAAAAATAGATTTAATAAACAATTAATGAATGATTAATAGAGAAGTGATTGCAATGAGAAATAATGTGTGCAATGAATGAATGCATTGGAGAAAATACTCAGGCATTCAGTATTGCCTGTGATGTGTAGTAATCGGGAGTCGATGTGTTGTATGCATGGAATTGTACGGCAATACTGTGTATAACGCTATACAGAGAGTGCAGAGTGTAGTGAATAATACTGTCATGTAATGCATAGGGAATGCAATGCAATACACAATACCTAATGACATGTTTCTCACAGCCATTACTCCACACAAACACTGCATTTGCACTGCATTTGCAGTTAACGTCTAAATTAACATCAAATCATAAATACATGAGAGCTATATATCCGCCCATATATTTACAACTGGATCTAAATCCTGGACACCATTTATGTAAGTATTGTTCACACAATCAAAACCAGTCAATCACTCAATCCGTGAACCAATTGAGTGTTGAATTGATTGCCAATTCATTACCACTTTTTTCTCTCTGTTTTGTTTGCTTTCGCTTTGGTTTTGTGTTGTGTTTTGTTTGCCCTTTAAATTCAATTCAAATTGTATTTTATGATCAATTGTTTAGTGAAATGAATGAAAATGAAGAAACAAATGCAAACATCGGTCACCAAAACAGTGTTCACGACAACGACGACAACCACACCGACGCTCAACACCAGACCACTAGTGATGATAATCTGAATAATAGTAATAATAATGTCATTAATGATAATCTGACTAAAAATGTAGACAACAGTGAAAGCATATGATTATTACTTTGTTAGCCACTGAGGTGACTTCGGTCACAACAGCGGTGACTACAGTAGTGATCACTTGTCTGACAGCAGAGTAATCTCCTATTATTATTAGTCGTTAGTAACCTTGGCAGCCACACAGCGACCGAAGTCGTCGCCGACACCGGTCTTCAGGAGCCGGACAGCAGTCGAACGACAGATGCGATCGATGGCAGCATTCAGTCCAAGACTCAGTCGACCACCTCTTCGAGTCCGGGCAGCGCTCAACCCATCATCAGTGAAGAGACGGCAACGCATGAAATCAACTTAAATGACAACAACGAGGAGACCGTCAATGAACCCAACGCTCAAATCGCAGATAATAACGAACTCGAGAGCAATGATAATAAAGTTGAGACAACAGTTGAGACAACAGTTGAGACAAAAGTTGAGGCAAAAGTTGAAATACAAAGTGATTCCGAAAAGAGCGCCCAAAATGTCAACACAAGTGATGGTTTGAATCCATTTGAAGAATCGGACGAACAAACACGTCTGTGCTTAGGTAAGGTGCTGCTTAGTTTGCTCTGCAATCTTCGTTGATTACTTAGTTTACAATTACTTAACAGGTGACTAAATTTATTACACTAGGTTTTTCAGCTACTTAATTTTCAGTGAGCAAATGAATCCATCGGCGATGAGAAGCCGAACGACTCGCCGACAAAAGTGGCGGCGGAATCGCCGGCAAAGAGTCCATTGGCGTCGGCGACCGCTTCGCCATTAAAGAGTCCAAAAGCGGTCGCAATTCCCAGTGATTTACAAGAAGTGATAAACGATAGCAGTATTTCAGATGAAGTGAAATTCGGTTTACTTTGCGCTAAAATCATGTCAATCGTGTCATCGGTGGACAACAGTCAAGACGCCAACACAATCACTGATAACATTCTTCATCTGTTAATAACCGACGATTTGCAGCGAATCCGGAATCCGCAGACATTGAGACTCTTTTTTCGAGATTATCTGAAACTCTTGCCGTCGAAGATTGTGGCCGAGATTCTCAGCGTTTTGATCGCTGTGTTCAAGAAATCGCTTCTCAACTTAGAGGCGGCGAAAGGACTGCTATTGGACTCATTGACACAGACTTTTCATTTCGATAATCTGATCAAACACTTCATCCGTGAGATCATAAACCTTCAGACGTCTTACAGCTGTGATGTGCGAGAGTTGAGAGCACTGTTACGACAGAGCGAAGACGACCCGAGACTTCTTCATTACGTGCGGAACGCGAACCTCCAGCAGAGGAGTCGTCCGAACGCCTTCTTTGCCTTCACGGGCTCTACCGGTTCTGTGTTGGCTCTGCCGCCCATTCAGAAGTGGCCGACACAGAACGGCTGGACATTCGTCACGTGGTTTCGACTCGAACCCAATGCCACCAATTCTCAGCCCTATCTCTACTTCTTCAGGACCAGCAAAACGGGTGTCGGATATTCCGCTCACTTTACCGGCAATTGTCTCGTCTTGACGTCGATGAAGATCAAAGGCAAGGGCTTTCAACACTGCATTCCCTATGAGTTCAGTCCATTCAAGTGGTTCCACTGCGCCATCACTTATGTGACCAAATGGAGGGGCGCGGAGGTGAAGGTCTACGTCAACGGCCAGATGACCGCCAACACCGACATCGCGTGGAGTGTCCAGACGTCCGACATATTTGACAAGTGCTATATCGGCGGCACCGCTGATCTCAATGAGTCCCACCTATTCAACGGCCAATTGTCGGCCATCTATCTGTTCCACGAGGCGCTGAACGCGAGCCAAATCTGCGCCATTCATCGCTTGGGTCCGTCATATATCGGACAATACCTTCACAGCAATGAGAGTCAACTCGAGTTACCAATGGTTATGAAGCGTGTGTTATATGAGGAGAAATTGAGTTCTTCGCTCATCTCTCTGTACACACCGGTGGCCGTCGAAGGAGAGACTCTATGCCTTCAATCGACTCCGAAAGGGAATCCCAATTACTTCACGTCTTCACCACACGCGGCACTATTGGGCCAAACGGTTGCCATTAAAACCCAATCGATTAGTTCGACTCTGCAGTCGATTGGAGGGATTCGCGCACTTCTGCCACTTCTTCACCGCTTCACCCATCGGTCTGACGCCGAGGCGTGTTCTACACTCATTGGCTTCATATGCGATCTGTTGGAGAGCTCTCCGCAATGGTTCGGCAACGAAGTCGTTCAGTCGCACGGATTTGTCATCATTTCCTCACTATTGGCCAAAAGTCCGCGAATTCTTATAAACGAAGAAACGCTTGAAATAGTGTTGAATTTGACTAAAACACTGATCAGCGCCGCATCGGGTGCTGACTCTCTCTTATTGAAGCAATTAATGGACAGTATTTTATTCAATTCGTCGCTTTGGGTTTACGTGGACTCGAAGTTACAGCTGAGGCTATACTGCTATTTGGCCACAGAGTTCCTCAGCGGTAATAATAGTAGTGGCAATAATAGTTCCGGTGCTAACAGTGTGTCCAATGGCATCGTATTCAGTGAAGTGAGACGTATCTCAACGGTATTACAATTATTACATTCATTGAAATACTATTACTGGTTATCGGAGGAGAAGAACATTCAAGTGAAGGCCAAAGACACGACTTTGCGGCCCAACAAAAATGAATTGCTGTCCATTCGCTCATATATTCTGCTATTCATTAAACAACTGATTCTTAAGGGAAATGGCGTTCATTTGGACGAACTTCAGGCGATTCTCAACTATTTGACAACAGTTAACGAAGACGAGAATATTCTGGATGTGCTTCAGATGTTGCAGTCATTGATGTGCGAACACCCGGCGTCTATGATTCCCGCCTTCGACGCCAAACACGGCGTCAAAACTGTCTTCAAACTAATGGATTCCCCCAACGAAGAGATCCGCATTCAAGCCCTCAAACTGTTGGGCTATTTCTTGTCCAGAAGTACCCCAAAGCGAAAGCAGGACGTAATGGGTCCGCACAACCTGTATATGCTTTTGTGCGAACATCTCATTAAATTCACGCCTTTAAGGATCGATACGTATAACGCGTTGCACGAGATTCTGACCGAAACGGCAATCGAGACCATCAGAGCATCGCATTCGAGTAATCCGAGTCTTCGCATCGAGAATCCAATGATTCTCAAAGTGATCGCAACTCTTCTCATCGAAGGCAAGAAAGAGGATCCCAACGACACCGACGACACAAATCCTGACATCAAACGACTCTTTATCAGTGATTTATGGCGACTATTGGTCAACAATCGGGAGAACAGGCGTCTAGTGTTGCAGATGTCTGTTTGGCAGCATTGGCTCATAAACCTCATCGACCATAACGTGGAAGTGACCAAAGATCAGATTTTGGCCATATTTCGGATACTGTTATACCACGCGATTAAGTATGAATACGGCGGATGGCGGGTATGGATCGACACACTGGCCATCATTCACGCGAAGGTCAGTCTCGACGAGTTTATGGCTCAGTTTGGAAGAGACAAGACTCACAGGAATAGCGAGTTTAGGGCCGAAAGGCGAACGTCCGGCGACTCCAGTACTGGCAGTAATTCAGTGAAAGACGAGTCGTTTCAATCAAATCACACGGATTTGCATCCAAGCAGTGGTGAGGCCTCTGAGAAGGCGTCCACTCGTGAGGAAGACAACAGCCGTCCAGAAGACGATCCCCGTCCTGAAGATGATCGCGAAGTGAGTTCAGTCACTCCCAAATCTGCTGCCCATCCGTCACAAGACATTACTGATAATACAAACGATAGTTCAAAGAGTGATAAAAGTGCCAAAACTAATGATACAAATGGTGTGACAAAAGTGGACGAAAGTACTGGTGATGTGAGCGCTAGTAATGAAGAAGAGAGCGAAGAACAAAAGGCTGAGACGAAGGAAGCGGTGATCAGTACTATTAGCTCTATTTCTACGGAATCAAAGTTGACGACAACTGATCCCAAACTGTCCACTACTGTAGTTCCTGATAGCGCTCCCACCAGAAGCAATAGGTTTGGGACTCAGCGCCGATCCAACCCTCAGAAAGAATTTTATTCGTCACTTATTTTGGGCCAAAAGCCGGCGCCCAAAGTGTCGGCGACGCCAGCCTTTCGTAAAGCGCTCCCACCAGAAGCAATAGGTTTGGGACTCAGCGCCGATCCAACCCTCAGAAAGAATTTTATTCGTCACTTATTTTGGGCCAAAAGCCGGCGCCCAAAGTGTCGGCGACGCCAGCCTTTCGTATACCGGAGTTTCGTTGGTCTCAATTGCATCTCAAACTACTCAACGACTTATTGTTTTCCATTGAATGCGATCTTCAGATGTGGAGAAGTCAGGGCTCGGAATACAAATCTGAGACCAACTCTCAGCGCAGCACTCAATTGGACCAAATTCTTCAACATTCAGAGAATCAGATTTATATCGTGAACGCCATTCATCTCGTGTCACAATTGAGTGATAATATCATAATAGCCGCGGGAGGACTACTGCCACTGTTGGCTGCGGCCACGGGTGGCAACAGCGCCGCACCCAATGTGGCCGCCGGTGGTGAGGGCTTAACCGCAATTCAGGCCAATTCACTGCTCTATAGACTCGTCAATCTGATCGACATCTTGTGTTTCGCCGCAACTCATGTCAACTTCGGTGAATTGGAGGCCGAGAAGAATATGTCGGCCGGAGGTATACTAAGACAGTGTCTGCGACTCGTCTGTACGGTTGCCGTCAAGAATTGCCTGACTGTACAAAAACACATTGAAAATGGATTACCAAATGATAACGACTTGGAGTCGATTGACATGAAAGACGAGTTGAATGCGGGCACAAGTATTGCCGCCGCCGCAGAACTCTTTGGCATCGATTTCTCCTCCGAGACGAGCGATTTGGTCACGAACTTCAAGACCGACGGATCAGACACTGAGACCGTCTCGACATTCATTCCAATACAACCGCTTCCTATCAAAGATCCGATGCGTTTACTGCAAGAGATGGACGTCAATAGATTGAGAGCCTGTATATACAGAGACGCCGACGCAGACACCCGACAGTCACAGTTCTTAGCGTTGGCCACACTTTACTTCATATCTGTGTTAATGGTCTCCAAATACAGAGATATTATTGAACCGAAAAGCGGTTCTCAAGCGACGAAAGGCAGTCGTCGTAACTCTCAGGCGTCTAACGACAGCTCGCAGTCACACAACGATCAGAATATAGACGCCGGAAGTCTCGACCCCTCGGAGATCATTAAACCCATAGAATTGCCCAAAAGTCACGGCGACTCGAATATCGGGGAGAAGTTGACCGCAAAACTGGAGACAACGCTATCGAGTGTTTGTCCGCTTCTCAGAGAAATTATGTGCGATTTCGCGAACTTTCTGTCGAAAACACTTCTCGGTTCTCACGGACAGGATTTGGTGAGCAAAGAGGCCGTCCGTACGTTCCGGCGCTCGAACGCCAGTCCCGTCGAGTTAGTGATGCTCTTGTGTTCACAGGAGTGGCAAAACACACTCCAGAAGAACGCGGGCTTAGCTTTCATTGAACTCATAAACGAAGGCAGACTTCTGTCGCACGCAATGAAAGATCATATCGTGAGGGTTGCGATGGAAGCGGAGTTCATATTAAACCGTTTGAGAGCCGATGATGTGTCCAAACACGAGACGTTCGGTCAGTCGTGCTTTGAGACACATGAGAGCCGTTCACACGAAGAGACGCTCATTAATTCGTTGATCCTTTCGGCGAAACGACGCGATTGGATGGTCTTTACGCGATTCAAAGAGAACCTAAAGCGCGGACACAGAAAGCACTACAAACTCGACTCCTGGGAAGACGACGCCCGACGCAAACGTCGATTCATTTGCGATCCCTTCGGTGTCGACCAAATGCCAGACAATTCGCAGCAATTATTCCAAACATCTGATGGAAACCCTATTCCCACACAATCTGTCGACGACTCCAATATAGACGAGAGTTCGGCCGATAAGGCGAACGATGAGGTTATGGCCAATCCATTGGTTTCACCGAAACAAACGCTAAACACTTCATCACGTGTTGAAGAAGAGGAGGAATTCTTATGGGAAACGGAAGACTCGGCGCCAGAAAATGAGACAAATCCTGAATTCAGTGGTTCTGTTCTCTTCACAATCGATTGTTCACTAATTTGGGGAATTTATGCCATTGAAGGTATACTTCAGATCACCGCCAATGAGCTGTTCTTCGAGGCCCACAGCAGTGAAATCGAGTTGAGTTCTGCGCTTAAGTTCGACAAAAAGATATCCAAAACAGAGGCCGCCGACAACATAATGAAGGGCTTGAGTGGTATCGGGTCTAAGGGCTCCAAAGGGTTCAAAGACTTGGATTTAATGGTTTTACGTTATTGTGATCTTTTGACATACAATGGAAAGATTCTGCTCAACGAAATCCGAGCCGTATTTACGCGAAGATTTCTATTACAACAGAACGCCATCGAAATATTCTTGGCTCAGAGGACGTCCATTATGTTCGCGTTCGTCGACTACGAGACCGTCAAAAAAGTGGTCAAATATCTGCCGCCAGTGGGTGTGGGCGTGAAGTACGGCATCCCTCAGTCCCGGAGAGCGTCGCTGTTATCACCGAAACAACTGTTCGCGACATCCAATATGACACAGAAGTGGCAGAAGCGAGAGATCAGTAATTTTGAGTATTTAATGTTTTTGAATACGATTGCCGGCCGAACCTATCAGGACCTCAACCAATACCCGGTGTTTCCCTGGATTCTGACCAACTATGAGAGCAATGAGCTAGACTTGGCTCAGCCCACGAACTTCAGAGACCTCTCCAAACCGATCGGCGCTCTCAACAGCGACCGGAGATCCGACTTTATTGAGCGCTACAACACGTGGGACAACAGCAACAATGTTCCCGCTTTCCATTACGGCACGCATTACTCGACGGCTGCCTTCACACTGGGATGGCTCATACGATTGCAGCCCTTCTACTCCACGTACCTGTCCTTACAAGACGGCCGTCTGGAGGACGAGTCCCGACTCTTCACATCGATTCGCGACGCTTGGGTCGCATCCCTTATGGGTGGCCAACAGAATGTCAAGGAACTGATTCCGGAGTTCTTCTATTTGCCAGAGATTCTCAACTCGAACCACATCTTGGATGACGTGGAACTACCGGTTTGGGCCGAATCTCCCGAACATTTCATACGATTACATCGAATGGCTTTGGAGTCGGATTTGGTTTCGTGTCAATTACACCAATGGATTGATTTGATCTTCGGATATAAGCAAAGAGGACCCGAAGCGGTCAGAGCTGTCAACGTATTCTACTATTTGACATATGAGGGCAATACAGACCTGTCGAGTGTCAACGACTTTGCGCTCAAAGAGGCGATCGAGTCTCAGATCCGACACTTCGGCCAAACGCCGAGTCAACTGAGTTCAGAGCCTCATCCGCCGCGAAGCAGCGCTCTTCACGTGTCGCCACTCATGTTCTCGCCGGTGATGGACGAGGTCTGTATGTCAGTCAAGTTCCCGTTCAACGCAGCGGTCACTCACATCGCCTCGTGTTCGGCACATAACGGTCAGCCCAACATCGCCTCCCAAATCGTGACCATTAATTCGCATCAACAGTATTATCTCCATAAGTGGAACACCAAAGAGTCGGCCACACCGTTGACTATGGATACGGCTCTCATCTCTTCCACGTCTAACACTAAGCGGCAACTGTTGGACACAACAAATCTGTGCACATCATCGCAGAGCCATTACATCGTGACTCTGGACGCGAAGCACATCATTATGTGTCCATTTTATGACAACTCATTCCGCGTCTATTCGACCGAAACGGGAAAACTAACACAAATTATTTACGGCCACAGAGGGATCGTCAGCTGTTTGGCCCGAAGCGAGTGCAACGTCGCGGCCGACTTCTACGTGGCGTCCGGTAGTCAAGACTGTTCGGTACTGTTGTGGACATGGAATGCAAAATATGCTCAAATTGAAGGCAACGGCGCTTCCAATTTGTCCAATCCTTTGCCAAAATTGACTCTTTGGGGACACGAGTCGACTATAGTGTCGCTGTTAATCAGCGCAGAGTTAGGTCTCATAGTTAGCGCCAGTCGTAACACTATATTAATACATACGACAAGTCATGGCGAGTGTATCACCGAAATCGATATTAGGAAAAGAGGTGCCATTTCTACACTTCGAAGTATTAGTAGTTATTCCGACAACAGAGCCGATGAACAAACCGATGGTAGACCTGAAGGAGATATTAACGGTTAGTTCGTGTGATGATAATTATTGTTATGTTTTTACTAAATGCATGCAATCTTTACAACCATTTAGAGGCCAACTTAGAGGCATCGATGTTAGGAAAGGACGGTTCGAAGAGTATTCGCAAACAATCACCCGATGCCAGGAGTGATACTAAAGCCGACACATCGAGTATGACTTCAAATGAAGTGAATACTGATTATTGTTCAGCTTTTGATGAAACCGATTATCTCATCAATAATCTGGTTTTGTGTCGAGAAATGGGTTTCATTGTGGGAATAGCTATACCACAGAGCAATGACAGCGATTACGAAGACTCGAAGCCCGGTTCGGCACAAAAGCATTTAAAGGCATCAAAACCGGAACGACAGCAACAAAACGCGTTACTCTTTTCCTATAATTTGAGATCAAAACTAATTAAATGCATACAAATCGGTGGCATTTCGTTCTCCAAAGACCGGGACTCGACTTTACTGTTGACCACAAGAGACGGCGAATACATAGTGATGACAGAGAACGGGTCGGCGGTAAAGATATTGCGGACGTTTGATTTGACGCCATTGTATGCGTTGAACACAACGGAACTGTCGACAGCTTTCACTGGCGAACAAAATCGGATTAAATCCATGACTTTGACTGACTTTAAGTACTTATTGGTTGGACTCGAAAACGGAAAACTAATTATATATAACATAGATTTTAATCGATGGCATCACGAGTACAGCAGCAGATATTAGTGCCTAAACTCTAGTCTTAGTGTTTACTTTTAACTTAAAATTATAATATAATATACGGTATGAAAGCATTATAAATAGAGCCGAAGATCTCGATCTCTGTTTTTTAGATAAATTTGAATCGACTTATGATTTGTTGAAATATATATTTTTATTTTGGAAACAAAATGATAAATCAATCGCCAATTTGTGTCAGATTTTTACTGACAAAAAAGCATTCAATTTCAAAACAAGTTTTCCCAGAAGTTCTATAAGTTATCTCTCTATTCGTGTGCGATATTTGATAACTAAACGATAGATTAATTAAAATTTCTAACTTATAAAAAGTTTTACTATTATATACTGTAATTGATTTGACGATTGTTTGAAAAAAGGACTTTTAAGATATAATTATATTATTATTAAGAAATCATAATTAAAACTCTCTAATACTTAGAGACGACGTCAACGAAAATGCAATTTCTTTCAACTTTTTATTTAAATAGGTTTTAGATTTTAAAGAGAATTATTATTATTGATTACTATTACTATTAATATTATTATTAATGTATTTATACATAAAACTATTATTACAAATAATCACAAGTTTTTTGGGATTCTTTTGGTAAATAAGAGGGATTATAATGTTATAAATAACTATTTGAATAACTATTTTAATCAATTTTATTATTATTATTATATTATTTATGTTAAATAATTGTAATAAACATTCCTTTGATTCAAATGTAATTTTTCTCGAGAAAAAACAGCAGTTTTTGCGTCCAATAATTAATAAAAATTAACTTTTAATTCTGTAAATTGTTTTTTGTTAAATCATTTTTGGCTAACTTTTCGTGCAGTTTGTCTGCGATTTGTAACAAACTTTCACTGCATTTACTCGTCGGATGCGTTAACACAATAGGCTGTCCGCTATCACAACACTCCCTCATCTTTATATCCAGAGGAATGTCACCCAACAGATCTATATTGAGCTCTTCGGCCAACCGTTTGGCCCCGTTTTGGCCAAATATGTGTGACTCGTGACCACACTTTTCGCACACAAAAACACTCATATTCTGAATAATACCCAAAACGGGAACTTTTGTTTTGGCAAACATTGTGGCGCCTCTTCGGGCGTCCATTAGCGCTATGTCTTGAGGTGTTGTCACTATAATTGCACCGCTTATTGGTATGCTTTGAGCGATCGATAGCTGTGTATCGCCGGTGCCGGGAGGCATGTCTATCAGCAGGTAGTCTAATGGTCCCCATTGGACACCAAACAGCAACTTCTGAATGGCGGACATAACCATTAGACCCCTCCAAACCACTGCCGACTCTTTTTCCATCAAAAAACCCATTGAAATACATTTTATGCCAAAATTAGTCAACGGTTTCATCAGATTCTCTAAGTTTTGACACAAATTATAAAATTGATAAAACATTACATAAAAGTTTGGTTAACTCTAAGACTAGAAAATGCCGTACGTTTGGTGACCTCCGGCTGTCCATCCAATGCCATCATCAGCGGAATGGATGGCCCGAAGACGTCGGCGTCAAGAATACCAATTTGTAAACTCTTTGGCGAAGAATATGAGAAACAGATATATCTGTGATATGACTCGTCTCGCAGACCAATGCGGCCATCATTTAATAACTTTGTTTACCGGATAGAGATGTTTGAGAGCTGTTCCCAAGCCTATAGTAGTGGACGACTTGCCGACACCTCCTTTGGCCGACGATATGAGGACCACATTCTTGACGCCAGCGATGCCTAACTTCGTGGCCAATAATCGTCTCGACTGTCGCTGAAGAACACAATTAAGACAATCGATTCAAGTATTTAAAAGATAATAAAATACCATTAAATGCGAAGAAGTGATTAAATTGAGAGCTCTTTTGGCAAACATCTGAAGACATGAAACACGAGTTTGGGATCAGATTTGTTGTCAAAACTGTTTGTTTGCATTGAATTGAGTGCGAAATGAGAGCCAAACGTAATGTTTGTTTGTTTTGATTGAATGTAAACAACAAAACATGTGATGAAATGCAGACAAATGTGTGGCAAATGTTGTCTTCACAACAATTTCGCTTCAATTCAAACAAATTGATCCAAATTTGCAGACATTTCACTCAAAATGCCGGACAAGTGGTCACCGAAACGGACCAGTGAGAATCGGTGTCTGGTCAGTACACAAGCGTCTAATACAGACGAAACGCCGGTTTTCTGCCGGTTTGAAAGCAACTGTACTGAAAGCCAAGCCCGCCTGTGTGCTTCTGTAACAACCGGTGGTATAAGCGGATCCGAGTGTACGCTCTGGACAGGGATCCCATCGCTTATCAACGGGCGGTTATGTTGTCTAAAAGCAAACTAATCGCCGCTAATGGACAACAAGTGATCCCATTGTTGGGCCGATTCAGTGAATTCCCGGCTTTAATGGATGCCGAAGACGTGTCGCCCGATTCGGTGGACGGAGTTATCATGGATTTGGGCGCGTCTTCCATGCAATTCGATGACCAACGAAGAGGTTTCGCTCTGTCCAGCGATGGACCGCTTGATATGCGAATGGATGGACAGCGCTTTGAGTCGATGCCAACGGCCGCGGATGTGGTCAATACACTCAATGCCGACCATTTGGCCAAAATATTTAAGATCTACGGCGAGGAGAGGTATGCGTTAAAAATAGCGCAAACAATAATCGACTCGCGATTCCTAATGAAGAGGTTGTCGTCGACCACCGAATTGGCGAATCTGATCGCAAACATCAGTTCCAATCACCAGTCCTTCGACCGACTCGGACGGCCCCAACACTCGGCCACTCGAGTGTTTCAGGCGTTGAGAATCTTCGTCAACAATGAGATGAATGAATTGAATTACGGTTTGGAAAAAGTCCGCAAATTCTTGAAACCAACCAAAAACAGCCGCTTATTGGAGAGAAACGAAACGATCGATGATTATGAAGAGATCGACGGCGGAGTGATTGCTGTCCTCTCCTTTCACTCACTGGAGGACCGGATCGTCAAAAAGCATTTAATCGGCACTGAATTGAACACAACGTTAGAACCGAAACATTTCAGTTCTTTGGAGAAACCGAGTGAACGAGAGTTGTCTCAAGTGATGACCAAATTGTGGAAACAAATCAATAAACGAGTTATACTTCCCAACGAAGAGGAGGTGTTGTTTAACCCCAGAAGCAGATCCGCTAAATTACGATTAGCCATAAGAATCCTGTAGTCATTGATTAGTTTTGGATCACATTTTTATTTTTCATACAAATATTGAAAAAATATATATTTGTTTGGAAAACACATAAAAACATTAATAAATCATTAATTAAATAAAAATAAATTAAATTAAAATTCTTTGCTTAAGAGATCACTCATTGGTTGAGTTCTGTTGTCGAACAGAATCGGAGGAATAGAGAAGCGATACGTTATCACTCGGAACGGAAAAGTCTTCCACTGTATGAAAGCCCTTATTGTCCACGTCTTTGAATGTACTATCTGTGTGAATGTATTTACAAGTGATTATATCGACCACAGTATTGGCCACAGAACTGATGAGACCAGAGATGGCGTAAATACCGCCGACGATACCCGACAAGCGAATCAAGAACTTCCAAATGGGAATGTGTTCTTCGACCACTTTTGCACAAATGGCGTCGATTTCATACTTGAAGTATATTCCGGGCATTCCGTGAGAGCCCCTCAACACCAGTTAGTGCGCTAGTGAAAGACAGCAACTCATAACTTTCGAGAAATCGCAGTCAACGCTACAGACGTGTAGTCAACTGTAGTGAAAATTTATCATCAATATATTAACTCAAGGACTTGGCCAAGAAAACAAACATTAATAATGGTCTGTAAGGTCTGCAACCAAAACAATGGATGCATTACTGGATTGTGTGATCTTCTCTTCGCCTTCCAATGGGTTTATAATACTCGGAACGTATTCTCCAAATGAAAACCTTTCGATCCGATGACTAAAATTGTATTCTTTGGACAAAACACGCGATATTAGTATGGATTGAAGTGGAAGAATGTGTTGCGAATGTGAGACCTGTTTCGCTGGTGAAGAGTGAGATGTGGGCGTGTCCTAAAGGCATCGGCAAATGTTTGCCGACCGTAATGTGAAAATTACCCGAAACTTTGTTGACAGTGAGTGTGCCGTATAGACGACACGCGTCGGGCATCCCGTTGGCCGGCGTCTCGCGCGGCGGCAAATCGCGACCGTATTTGCGTTGAGTCAAGACATCCGACTTCCACAACACCTCCTGAAGAGTGTGGTGTTCATTACGCAAATAGTTGTTCACAGATCTGATGATTTCCCACTGAGTGCTCTGACCGGGACTTAACTCGAAATATGTCGGCTCTTCCACGAGTCGGCCGTAAGTGTAGGCGTTGTTAGTATTGGTCGAGTCCATGATATCGGCGCCAATGCCTTACGGTTTTAG